TAGCTCTATAGTTCATGGAGGATCTCAGTAGCTGAAAGACAGCACTTGGGGTGTAGTTTGTAAAGTCACATGTACGTGAGGAAGGAAGAAAAATGGCTGCGTACTTTTAAAACTGGCCAATGACAGACAATGAAACCCAATATAATTGCACCCGATGCTGTTCTGGAAGAATAAAAAAGCACTCGACCATGCTTCTGAAGCCATCAAAGCAGGAACACGGACTCAACAGATGTTTCAGATCCCAGAGGGACATTTCTGGAATCTTATTACACATCAATAAACTGAGGGTTAGGACCTCTAGGGTGGCATGAGTGAATGCCCTCTTTGCTGTCCCTTGGAGACGGATAACAAGCAAAAGGGCTACATGAGCTGTATTTCTTTGTTCTCTGGAAAAAAAATTGGCAGGGGGGAGAGTGTCTAGAAATCTCATGAAACATCAGAACCATCATTTTGGAGAGTCACCCATCAGTGCTTGGGGTATTGTGTCATGCGTCCACTCGCCCTGAGGGGTCTCCCTTCATTGCCCTTGGTTTACATGATCCTGATTTATCTTCTGAGAGGTGCCCATGCTGCTCTAAAAGACGAGGAGCTGAGTTTCCTAAAACCAAGTGGCCTCTCTAGCAAGACTTCCCCACACCCCAGCCCTGCTCCTGAGGCCTTTTGAGTTCTGCTGCTGGCCAGCGAGGGCCAAGTTGGACACCACCGTTTAAAACCAAAATACTGTTCCTAGCATGAAAAGCCTCGGGTGCCTGCTGAGAAGTTTCTGGAAGTGCCATGGAAACGAGGCGTTAAAGCTGTGCGTGGGATCACGCGAGGAAGACTTTTTTCTAAGGATGTCAAGTGAGGTAAGAATAGAAACCCCTCTCAATAGGCTTATGTCCTAAGTACTTCAGCTCAGGGCGAAGAGGGGTTTAACCCTTTGGAGTTCCAGTTTCCTCCCTGCATGGCTGCCTAGCACCTGCCCTGCATGAGCAGTGGATGGAAGGGAGGTGGTTTGCATTTAAAAAATATTTTTGCTCTGTGTGATCCTCTGTGTAAGTGGCCTGAAGGACTTATGTCACCGACGCCGATTACATAGATAAAGGCTTCCTCTATGCTTGTCTTACAAATCTAGCTGTGGCTGTATATGAAGCAGGGCTGGATTAAGGGGGGGGCTAGCCAGGCAGCTGCGCGCCCGAGGCCAGGGGCCACACGGCACCCCTTAGAGCTGCCATCAGGTGCCGTGCGCCTGATTGCAGCTGTAAAGTGCACAGCACGTTGGTGGGCGGGGCCACACATGCACCGTGCGTCCGGGGGCAGAGCCATGCACGCGTCGCGTACCTGCTGCCCGGGCCGCAGGAATGGCTCGAGCCGGCCCTGATATGAAGATGGCTTTTTCCACACCTCACCCGCACGGGGCTCACAATCGCCCGCAGGTCTGAGTTCTGAGCTCTGGAGAGACCCGATCAAATATGGGAAGGCTGCTGGTTAGGAGCCCGCTTGCAGGAAGGGCAGTTTCCCTCAGGGCTGCTGTTCCGGCTTGGGCACTGCTGCGAGCGGAGCTGCGTCCCACCACCCTGTCCCCGGTGATACCGCATGAATGGTTAATGCTGGCTCCAAGGAGTCCCGGCTGTAAATGCTGCCGCGCCGCGTGCCTGGCCAGTCAGTTGCCCTAGAATCATAGAACACGAGAACTGGAAGGGACCTTGAGAGGTCGTCGAGTCCAGTCCTTTGCCCATGATGTAGCACCTCTGGGCACTGCCAGCCCTGGCCTCTCCCCAGGCATTCACACGTGCCACAAAAGTGGGGCCCTGTCCTAACCATGAGGGATGGCCAGCAGCCTGGGGACTAAGGGGTTAACTCTGTCCTCTGTACCTAGCCAGGTATCTGCTCAGACAGTAGTAATGTGGATAGGGATTTCAAACCGAGACAAAGGAATTTTGAACTTTTCCCTCCTTTGTCTCTGAGCCAGTTTGCTCTCTAGATACTGAGGGAGACAGAAGACATGTCTCTCTCCAAGAAAAAGACTCTTCAAAATGTGTAAGTAGGGTAAAGTCTAGATAAATCCATCAGGTTTTATTGTTTTCTGGTTTGGGAATTTGGATCTGATGTCTGTGCTGTTAGAAATGTTTTTTCTTCTCTTTTACAACTAAGTTTTGGCTCATGGGGGAATCCTCCGACAGTATATAAATTGGTGGCTCTTACCATCTAGCCATTCCAACTATGCTTGTAACTGGGGTATTGTTTTAATAATAAAAATTCTTTCTTTTTTTTTCTTTAACCTGGTATCAGTTCAGCTCTGTGTCCTGGAAAATCTATCTGTGGGATCTGCATGCCTCTGACAGGGGGACAGCAGCCACAGACTGCAATTTGTATTTTTCTCTTTTCTTGTCAAGCTCTTTGGAGAAAAGAGCTTGGGGAGCCCTGGGGTTGGTTTCAAGTGTCCACCCGTTTGTGGGTTCAACAGCACTTGATGGTGGCAGCGGATTCCCCAAAATCCTGGTATTAGGATTTTGGGGGGAGTTTTTGTACCAAATCCTGTAGAGATCAGGTCTTGAGGTTGCTTTTGCGGGCCCCCACTTCTGCATTCATCATGCCAGAGTGGGGAACAGCCTTGACAGGCCCGAAGGTGCTTGATGTGACACCCCATCTTTGTTGGGGGGGGTGAGCCCAGCCCTAACTCTTACCATGTGGCAGAACACCCCGCGGGGTACGGACACTTGGGTTACACAAAGATGAGGTCCGGTACTGCAAGCTCAGATGGTAGTGTAGATGGGGAGACCAGGCTGGAGATGAAAGGAGGCAT